GCCGTGCACCGCGGTGAGAATCACCGAATGCAGCACTTAAGACGCATTAACACAACACTAGTAGCACTCTGATTTGTGGTGCATCTGTTGCAGCTCAAACTTGCACAAAACTGTGTGACCTGCTCTGAACCTGTTGATGCTGCTCAGTGGAACAGAACCTTTATCAGGTCCAGGATGCACAAACTCAACTTTTTTTTGCCACAACTGCATGAACGTCAAGATCGATAATGTGCTTCAAACTGGATCTCACAGGCTTTATCAGCCAGTGGAGTTTCATCAGACAGCTAGCGGCATTTTTATATAAGCGTTATTTACAGCAGCAGGCAAAAAACAACTTCATGCTTCCAAACAGCAGACTGACAACGTTAGCAGCAGGTGGAGACCAAAGCAGAGCGAAAAGCAGAGTAAATACTGGACTCTATCTGGTGGAGGTGAATGCAGTTCTAGATAAATGTTAGTGTTGCTCCATCTCTGAGGAATCTGCAGAAACATTATAAAGGGATGATAGGTGTTTGTTTGTTGCAGCGACGCCCTCAAGTGGACAAAAAAGCCAATTAATCCAGCTTTAAAGCTACAGCGCAGGACTTTTACACTAGTGTATAAATACACATCCAGCCAAACAAAGTTCACACAGCCGGTCATCTCCAGGTAAATCTCTCTGTATGCTGCTGTATACAAAAGTTTGGAATCAGGTGTTTTACATTAACTAGCAATTACTGAGATGAACAACCAAACTGATGACGACGGCATCGACCACACAAACTACAAAGATGGTGGAAAAACCAAAGAAAAGTTTCTGATGCTGCAAATAATAAAGAAGCTTGTTGATACAATCTAAAAATTAAAGTGAGGTACACGTCATAAGCACACATAGACAGTGTTTGTGTAATTACTCTCACTGCCAGAAGGGGGAGACAAAAGTTCTGCAATGCAGCTTTAAGAAATAAAGTTTTTTTTTTTTATTACATTAGATTTGATTGATCGTTGCACAGAGTACCAACGACAACAAAATGCAGTTTAGCATTAAACAGAAATGCTAAAGAAGCAGCGTTACGTTCCAGAAGCTCTTATCGGCTGTACGAGATGTTTGCAAAACTCTTCTGTAAAAATAAATATAAAATGAAGCGTTCAATGAGATTCGCCAGTTTTTATTTGTCACGTGCTCATACAGTCTGTGCAGTGAAATGCAGAGTGACTGTTGGTAACAATAAGATGTTATAGGAACAGTCTTGAAAAAGTCGTAATGACCCTCCCTTGTGTTATTTGTGTCAGTAACATGTGGATCTCGTGCTGTGCAGGTCGTCCGGTCAGCGGCGAGTGTCAGGGCGAGATGCTGGACTACCGGCGGATGCTGATGGAGGATTTCTCTCTGAGTCCGGAGATCGTGCTTCACTGCCGGACGGAGATCGAGGCTCACTGCTCTGGACTTCACCGCAAAGGCCGAACGCTGCACTGCCTGATGAGAATCGGGCGCGGCGACCGCAACACGGCCGTCGACAGCGTCTGCCAGAGCGCCGTAAGGAACAGAGTCACTGCCGCTGAGATGCTTAAATGTTCCAGAAGAGCTCAGAGGGAGGACTGGTGTGGCTTCAGCGGAGTGATAAATTATCCACAGCTGTGCAGAAAACCCGTTTCATTTAGCTTTTTGTGATCTGATGAAGCCTCAGTCGGTCGTTGAGTTTCTGATCTTGACGGTGCTGCAAACATTTAACATAAAATGGGTTTTCTGAATTAATTTAACTGGAGGATTAGTCAGAGTTGTTTCAGATTAGCTTTTAATTTGTCACACCAACGTTAAAACCAGTCAGAAAGTGTTCAGCTGTCATTCGTCAGGCTCAACAGATGGATGTTTTCTTCTGAACAATCCAAAGGCGAAAAGTTTTCTTTTAATCAAGAGAGTCAAATTTAGATTTAATACCAGCTTTTGTGTCGACCTCCAAAAGCATGATTTAAAGCTTGAACAACGGTCTTTGTTCATGGTGTTTTCCCCATGTGTGTAAAGTACAGTCTATAGTTTCAAAAAAATTATATATTTATTTTTGTAATATTTTGCAAGAAAATGAATGTTGGAAAATCAAAAAATATATGTATATCTTACATATGATTGTGCCCTGAATAATCGTATCTACAGTGATTAACAAATTTACTAGACCACCACATAATGTCAGGTTTATGCCACAGCTGCTCTAAATTAACAGCACTGATGATTACCTAAATCATTTCTTATGTTTCTGTAATGGTTAATACACCAGTATGGAGAAGCTCTTTAAGCAAAATGATATTTTTAACGCTAAAATAGAATCATTATTGTTATCCATGAATTTACTGTTTTACAAAAAAAAAAAAAACTGAAAAAATAGTAAAGCACATTATTATTTCTTGATTAAGATTCAGATTATAGTTATTTACCTGCATTCCTGAACAGAAAAATTAGTTTAGGTGGTTCAATGTGATGCTTGATTAAGCCCAGTAGCTCAGATTTGGGTATAAAACGGTGAATTTAGTTTGAAATTCCTCATTTCTGTTCTAAATGGTAAAATGTCGAGAGCTGAGTGTGAATTAAAGCGCTTCACGATGCTGGATGGTCTCTATAGATATAGATCTATATCTTATAAATTTGTTAAGCTCTGTAAATACATCATATTTCAGAGAATCCTCCCCCTCTACAGGAATCCATAGACACATGTTTTTAATACTGCCTGCAATTTATAATCCTCTTCTCTTTATGCTTCTTTCTGCACTTATTGTTTGCACTCTTGCCTACTTTGTAAACCGCCTTTGGGTGTCTTGAAAAGCGCTATATAAGTGATATTATTATTATTATTGTGTAAATCAGACCATATATCATGAACTGACTATATGTCAGTGAGGGTTGTCAGGTTGTTTATGAATAAATGAAATATTGAAATATAAGTTCAGTTTCTTTGCTTTTGCTTTTGTTTTGTTTTTTTCAAAATGTTTTTTTCTCGCTGCAGCTGCAGACCCTGATCCAGTCGGCCGACCCCGGAGCCGACTACCGCATCGATCGAGCGCTCAACGAGGCCTGCGAGTCGGTCATCCAGACCGCCTGCAAACACATCCGCAACGGAGACCCCATGTGAGCTGAGCACACACAAACGTGGACCTGAGTGTCCGTTTTAGCTGCGATCCAGTGATTTGACCCTTTTTTACCGTTAACGGGATCGATTAGTTGTGTTTGTCTTTAACGTGCTGATGTGTGGCTGTGCTGCTGCAGGATTCTGTCGTGCCTCATGGAGCATCTGTACACGGAGAAGATGGTGGAGGATTGTGAACACCGGCTGCTGGAGCTGCAGTATTTCATATCCCGAGACTGGAAGTGAGTGATTCTGGGAACTGGTGGATCCGTCCAACTGGATGGGATGAGTTATGCTCGTTAGGGGCGATAGCAAGTCTGCGCTTTAATACAGCTGACCTCTGTGTTTTTGTGTCCCAGACTGGACCCCATCCTCTACAAGAAATGCCAAGGCGACGCTGCTCGACTCTGCCACACTCACGGCTGGAACGAGACCAGCGAACTGATGCCGCCCGGCGCCGTTTTCTCCTGCCTCTACCGCCACGCCTACCGCACCGAAGAGCAGGGACGCCGGGTACGAAACACGCTGACGTTTAGATGTAATGTGGAGGATTCAGTATGTTTGGTTGATTTAAGATTAGAAATTTGGGGAAATTCGCAAAGTTACAGCAGCAAAGATGTTACAAACAATTAAGGAATGAAGTGTAGTAATAAAAATAAACCAAAATATACAAGTAGTAGTTCTAAAAAATCTAATTACTGCACATATCAGGGTTTTTGGATGAATAGAAATATACAGATATTATTATTGCACATGAACAGGGTTGATGTGTTGCGGATGATTTCTCTAAATCAACAGGTGTAACTCTGATGTTTTTAAATTCAACAGGTAAAGCCAGACGAGCAGGTAAGAGGTTTCGCCCAAATCAGTCGCCTGGTGAACGGTTCAATCGATTAATTAATGACGATTACAGCGCTGATGCTGACTGAATTGTGGTGTTAATCTCTGTCCTCTGATTGGTTGGGGTGGACCGAGCGGGAACTAAAAGCTGATCAATTACACTAATAAATCAGTATCATTATTATTAATAACAGTAACTTTATTTGTAAGGACCTTCTGAAGACAAAGGTAAGCAGAAGTATTGCTAGTTAGGGAGTTTCAAAATAATATCTTCATTAGTAGCTGAGATGTTGTCGCCTTAAACTTCAACGTGCAAAAAAAAAAAACATGCTGACAGTGAGCTGATGAACAGAACGATCATGGAAAGTGTTTGATATATCAGTCGACAGTTTCACAGATATCATTTTAAATCGATAGTTTATGAGCTTCAAGAAAATGGAACAACCTCTAGCCTACTGTATTTATTGATTTTTAATTTATATTTATACAATAAATGCCAAAAATAACTTAAAACGTGTGCATCACTTGGGCCAAATCAAGTGAGTCGGTTCAACTTCTACTGCAAAAACCACACCGTAAAAACAGAGATCATTGATTAGTTCATTCATTAAGCCCATCGTGTGGCCACTTTCAGGGAACTTTTTCATGCTCGCTGGTCAGTCGTCGCTTTTTTAAAGCTTATCTGATTGATGCATTTGCACATTTTTGTATTTTTGTTTTTAATCGTCATGCTGGCATTTTGTTGAAGTGCTGGTTAGTGGTTGTAAAATGTACACACATCGCGGATCTTAATCGAAATGTCTTTTACTAGATTCAAAAAATGTGATCAACCTCGTTAAGCGCCTTATGTTCTATATAATGCAGCTTGTGATGATTTAAACAATAGTGTATTTAAAAAAGTGGTGGCAACAAAAATAATCAACAGTTTTAGACTATAAAATGAAAATAAAAAGAATTCTGCAATAAATATAAACATTAATAGCAGCAAATACGGCATAAGTAATGCACCGCTGTTAATAAATAATAATAATCGTTTGTTTGATAAGAATAAGACATGATGGAGTTAAATAATGGACCAGAAGCAGTTGAGTATAGTTGCGTCTATGATTTGTAGATAGTAGACAGCTCTCCCATTAAGATATTAAAACTAATTCTGTACAGTTGGTCTACAGTATTAATAAGTACTAAGACTGAGCAGAAGTATTGTCTAAAAACAGCAGAGCAGCTTTTATATCAGATTGTTGGGGGAAGCAGAGCTACAAGACGGGAACATGAATCCTCTTCTGTAGCTCTTTGCTCACATCTCTTCCCTACAAGAAGCTAAAAAGTGTCTGGACATAATTTTAGTTTCAAGCCTTTAAACAAAAGCATCTGCCAAATACACAAATTCTTGGTCCTGATATCTGTGTAATCAGAGTCTCTCCAAGAAAAATACCAAGTGGGAAGCGCCCCTCGTCCCTGATTTCGGTAATTACTCCCCTCAGCGAGGAGGCTCTTGACAGCTTGATTCGACGTGATTATACACTCGCAGCAATCTCGTGTGTTTCAGATCTTCGCAGTGAGAACAATGCTGGAGAGTGGGGGCTTATTGGCTGCCAGCAAAGCAACGATCACAAAACTGCTGGTTTAAAAAGATAATGCACAACCTGCTTGAAAAAAATGACAAATTATTGTGTCGTTAATGGTAATTCGGGGTCAGAACATTAATTACTGTGATGCTGAATGTGGCTTTCTGGGCTGAGCAACATATTGTGTCGCTGGAGGTTAGTTTATCATTAGTGTGGTAAAGAAATGTCTGTTTGTGTTTGCAGTTATCTCGGGACTGTAAGGTGGAGGTCCAGAGGATTCTCCACCAGAGGGCTCTGGATGTGAAGCTGGACCCGGAGCTGCAGAAACGCTGCATGACCGACCTCGGCAAGTGGTGCAGCGAGAAGCCCGACGCCGGACAGGTGAGGCTGCTGCTGCTGCTTTTAGCCGAGCTCAGTTAACCGTCTCAAACTTGGAACTTGGAAGGGGAAAACTTGTAGTTTGGATTTGAAATATATCTTTAGTGACACCAGTCCTGGAACTTTTTTGACACTCCTCATATATGTAATCAAGTACAGAGGGAACTCACAGAGTCTTCACATTGTGTCTTTGCTGCTGTGCTTGACTCCAGGAGCTGGAGTGTCTGCAGGATCACCTGGAGGACCTGGTGTCAGCCTGCAGGGAAGTCGTGGGAAACCTGACGGAGCTGGAGTCAGAGGTCAGAGCCGAGCAGAAGCCAGGAGGGCGAGCCTGGTTCTGTCACTGCTGATGTCACACGGAGACCAGTAGGAGACGCTGAGGTGCTGAAACTGTCTTTGTTTCTGTGTCGTTGTTTAGGACATCCAGATCGACGCTCTGCTCATCAGGGCCTGTGAACCCGTCATCCAGGCCCACTGCCACGTGAGCAAACACTTTCCTGTCATGTGCAGAAGGAGCACCAACACTTCAACACTTTATAGCTTCAGGGTCAAAATGTTTAAAACACACACACTCAGAGCTGCAACTCTTTCATGCTTGTTTTCTTTTGCATAACTTCGCTGCACATTTAGTCAAAGTAATACTTGAATCTGACTTTTTTTAAACCAATTAACATAAACATGCCATTGAATAGTCTAATTTTTTGCCAACATAAATAATGACATGGCTCCGTGTTTGAAGGAAAGCCGGCTGTGCTCTGGATAATTTTGTCTAGCTGGTCGAAAAGCCTAAGTTGAAGCTGATTTACACATTTCTTGTTTAGATAATGCAGCTCCAGAACTTCATCGAAACACACGATCAATTAGCGCTGCTGAAAGCTAACTAGCATAGCTTAGAGCGTCATTAAACCTGCAGTGAGTACCATCTGACTCTCCATAGGTCCCTTTAAACTACCTTTATATCATATATCATATATTTAGTTGTTTTTTTTTTTTAAACACTACAAACCTGAGAAAATGAAAACTCTGGAGGAAGCTGCAGGTTTTATTTATTTGAACTCTCCAAACATCCAAAAATATTTAATATCAGACTGAATTTCAGCTGGAATGTGTCTAAAATGATGCTTAAAACTTTTTATTTGCCGGAACCATGCATCAATGACTTTTATTCGATACCTCTAAGTCCAAATGTACTTTTCTCTCCCAAACATTGATTTTTGTGGAGCTGCAGCGAGGCACACAGTGATTTGGGTGGTGGGTTGTATTTTATTTGCGTGTACATATCGAATCGTTATCGTGTTTGTGTGTGTTTTGCAGGATGTAGCCGACAACCAGATCGATACGGGCGATCTGATGGAGTGTTTGGTTCAGAATAAACACCAGAAGGAGATGAACGACAAGTGTGCAGTCGGAGTCACGCACTTCCAGCTGGTCAGTTACCATGACAACATCTGTTTCTAGTTTTGTTTTTGTTTTTTTCTTTATTTTACTCCGAGTACTTTTAGGGTTCATGTCGCCGAAGTTTTAATATTAATTTAAATAGTTTAATAAATACCCATGAAGCCCAAACATCTTTTTATAAGCTTAGAAATATTTCTTTTCTTTCTTCTTTTTTTTTTTTAATTTCAGTTTGTTAATGTAGCTATTTATTTAATTTAATTTTATGTTTGTTAAAATAGGAAAGGAACTGCTTAGGAGTGAACATAAATAGAAAATATAAAGCAACAACAGTGATAACAAGCAAAACAAAATAAAGAGAGAGATAGTAGTTTAACTGCATAATACTATGCAACATTTGTCATGATAATAAACAAACAAACAAAAAAGACTAATGAACAGAAATATACAATTATTGGGAATTATTAGTGGAAGTTAATCCATCCATTATCTATACACCACTTAATCCTCACTAGAGTCATGGGGGGCTGGAGTCTATTCCAGCTGACTTAGGGTGAAGGCAGGTTCACCTGGACAGGTAACCAGTCTATCACAGGGCTACACTTAGAGACAGACAACCAAGCACACTCACATTCACTTTAAATTTAGAATCACCAGTTAACCTCAACATGTTTCTGGACTGTGGGAGGAAGCCGGAGAACCCGGAGAGAACCCACACTGCACGGGGAGACCATGGAGACTCCACGCAGAAAGATCCTGGGTGTCCTCACCGGGATGCGAACCGGGGATCTCCTAGGCAACGGTGCTAACCACCGAGCCACCTTGCAGCCCTAATCCAAGTCTAATAGGTCTAAAATATTAATATTAGATTAAACATTATTTATTCTGAAGGTTCACATCCAGTGAGTTCATGTTATGTGTATTTTTTGCAGCTGACTTGTTCAACCAGTCAAAAAAAAATCAGTTTTTCAAGAGTTGAATTTAGTCTTCAGGATGGTGATAGATGAAAGTTCCACATTTATTACTTGCAGAAAGAGTTCATGAATCATCAATAAATGTTCATCTCTGTCCTCAACTGTCAGGTTCAAATGAAGGATTTCCGCTTTTCCTACAAGTTCAAGATGGCCTGCAAGGAGGACGTTCTGCGCTTGTGTCCAAACATCAAGAAGAAGTGAGTTCAGATTCCACCAAAACACCAAGAAGCGTAATCTCAGTGTGAACTTGTTATTTGTTTAGAGCGTCCAGTTGATTTAAACACAGTTCACCCCGCAGGGTGGACGTGGTCATCTGCCTCAGCACCACGGTGAGGAACGACACGCTGCAGGAGGCCCGAGAGCAGCGAGTCTCTCTCAAGTGTCGCAAACAGCTGCGAGTGGAGGAGCTGGAGATGGTAACAAACACACACACACACAGAGACACACACTAACAAACACTAACACACACTAACACACACTAACACACAGCTGTAGCGTCGCTTCAATTAACTCCATTCGGGGCGTTTTCACACTTCGTCTTGATGCTTCAGTTGGTGCTCAGGTGACGTTAATTCAACTGGAGGCTGAACCAGCTGTGTGTGACATGTATCCATGGCAACAGTCTGTTTCATCCCTCACATGATGCCGGCACTCGAGCTCTCCTCACACCGATCACCAGCTGATGAACCAGCAGTGAGGACTTTGCAAGAAAAGCAGCGTTTTGGGTCCTTTTTCACTTCATCCAACACCTTATTGATTAATTTATTTAGTCTTTATTTGTATACGTCACACACAGCATTTATATTCTAATGCTGCTTTCAAATGGAACTTGTGAGCTTGTCAGTGCAACGCGGGGAGTCGCTTCAGGCAGCTGATGTTACCACTTGAATCCCAAGAATTTGTAAAATCAGTTGAAGGTCATGAGAACGCTGCAACAACAGACAGCACTGCTGGTATGAAGGAGCCATTGAGGCTCAGCGTTTAGCTAACCAGTGGGTAATGTGGGAAATTCAAGGGCAGGATGACAAGATGAGGCCGTTGGGAGGAACAACATTCTCCTCAGACATTATACAGTTAGGAAGAAGAACTTTTCAGAACCGAAACTACAATATGTTAACGTGACAGCTGCTGGAAAATGAACTTCCACTGCCTCGACATCAGCAAACACGACTCAACTCGTGGTTTTCCACTAAGAAAATTGAAATTTCCAGGTGTAAGAAAGCATCACTCACCATCTTCCACTGCATAGTAATACAGAAAATCCCTCAAATTAGTCCTCTGGTGAATCTCGTAGTCTTCCTCCTGCTGTCAGACTTTACAACCAGCGCTGCTCCCACAAAACTGCACGTAAAAAAAACTGACATATTTCACTCTGATGCAGCATCAACATATTCAACTTGTGCATTCTGAATATTTTATACATTAAAAAACTTTGTGCGACTTCAGTTTTTGTAAATATACAAGAATCTGTGCGATTTCTTATAATGGAAGAATCTGTAATGCCACTGATTGGTGCAATATTATTGTTTTCTACGTCCAGATTGTTTTTTTCTTTGCAATATCTACACATGGAACAATCTGCACTTGCATATGTTTTTTTATTTATTTATTATTTATTTTCGTTTTCTACCTCACCTTTGCCGCTGTAGCTCTGCAGCCTTCCCTGCCATTGGTTAAATAAAAGCTCCTCTTGTCTTATTGTAAAAGCAAGAAAATGTGCAGCTACAGTTTTCTCAATAACAGCACAACTCCCCATTCTTTGTCTCCTTTTGTCTCAGTCGGAGGACATTCGGCTGGAGCCAGAGCTGTACGATCCCTGTAAGTCCGACATCAGCCGTCTGTGTCCCAACGTGGCCTTTGGAAACGCTCAGGTAACGATTTCAGGATATTATTTTAAAAATATTACGTTAAGCCGCATCAGAAGTCACACATCTTCATCTCCTCCCTCCGTTCGTTACCTCCATCCTTCCTCAGATAATCGAGTGTCTGAAGGAGCAGAAGAAGCAGCTCAGTCAGCGATGCCACCAGCGGATCTTCAGGCTGCAGGAGGTGGAGATGAGCGACCCGGAGCTCGACTACCAGCTGATGAGAGTCTGCAAGCAAATGATCAAGGTGACGGAGAGATTATAGTCTGGACAGAAAAGTGCAGAATATTATCAGCAACAAGTATTCAAAGTATTGGTTCTACAGAAAAATGTGCCCTTGACAGATGGATGGAGAGAAATTTAATTTATCCTCTTGGAGAAATTCAAGGTATCCAGTAGCTCATGCATGTTATGTTCAAGATAAGTAAGGAAAATAATGGACATAAGAGCCTCCAAATAATTTACAAACTATGCTGGTTGAAGAAATAAGGTGCCGCGAGTGCTGGTATTTACAAAAAAAGGTGCAAAATTGTTGGTATTTACAATAAAATAGAGGATAAGAAAAATACAAATGAGTGCAGTTAAACAATGGAACTGATAATAAGCATGTATGATAACAGATTAGTCATACAGATTCATTAATGTGTAAACAGCATCTTCCTGCTGATTTGAACTAATTTAGATACAGAAAGTGTTCAACATGGTGAACAGGTGAGAAAGGAAAGAAGAAAAGGACGTTTTTGATGCATGAATCTGTATTTAAAGGTTTATATTTGTTCTTTTCTTTGTGAAATAATGGATAATGTTACGCCTTTTAAGATTAAAACAACTGAGACACATTGATGGGAAATCAGAAGTCAACAGCTTTGTTTATCAATGTTTTTTTTTTAGATATTTTAGAATCTTGTGTTTTTGGGGCAGCCGGATAGCTCAACGGGTTGGGCAGGCGACCTATGTACAGGGGCTTTAGTACCTGACGCAGCGGCTGTGGTTCGATTCCAGCCAGCGGCTCATTTGCTGCATGTCCTTTCCCCACTCTTGTCCCCGTGTTACTCTGTCACTCTTTCACTGTCTTATAAATTAAAGGCAGAAAAGCCCCCAAAAATATCTTTTAAAAAAATCTTGTGTTTTTGGGGTGAAATCTAAATCTGAAAAGTGACTAAGGTCGAGCTCAGCAGCTGTAACACACTGAGACGATGCCTGAGGTGATTTAGTTTCTCATTGAATAACAGAAACTGTTCTCCTGCAGCGGTTTTGTACTGAAGCAGACGCCAGAAACGTCCTTCAGTGTCTGAAGCAGAACAAGAACAGCGAGCTGATGGATCCTAAGTGCAAACAGATGATCACCAAGAGGCAGATCACACAGAACACAGGTACACAAACATCAACTCACAGGTCTGTGAAAGGTCTGCAGCGTCCTTCATCATCCTCCTCTTCCTCCTCCTCCTCCAGACTACAGGCTGAACCCGGTGTTGAGGAAAGCCTGTCGAGCCGACATCCCCAAGTTCTGCCAACCCATCCTGAACAAGGCGAGCGAGGACAGCGAGCTGGAGGGTCAAGTCATCTCCTGCCTCAAACTCAAATACGCCGACCAGGTGAGAGCTGATGAATAGACCGCCGGCTTTGAAATGGACAAAACAGTCCAGTGAAGTTGTGTTGGTGTCAATAACACGAGTACAGTACGTACATCTTTTAATGCTGCTGGAAGGGAAATAAGCAGCATCCTGACGGTTCTGTTAAATCGTGTGTTTTGTGGCTGGGCTTTGGTTCAGAGGTTGTCTCCAGACTGCGAAGACCAGATCAGAGTGATTCTGCAGGAGTCGGCGCTCGACTACAGACTGGACCCACAGCTGCAGATGCACTGCTCAGAGGAGGTAAATTATCACACGTTAAAAAGTTAAATATGTGGACAGAGGCGTCACACACCAATAAAACCACTGACAGGTGAAGGAAATAACACATCAGATCAAATGTATTTGTTCCACACACGGTTGTACAGGACACAGTAAAATGTTCTGTGATCCGGCTTGTTCGCACAATACAAAGTCTACGTATGTATCGACAACATATGCAGAACATGTGAAGCAGTATTTACAACCTGGGTGTAGAGATTTACATTTTTAAATATGAAGCGGCTGCAGAATAGGATTAAAATTAGCATTTAATTATTAACATTAATTTAATCGTTACAATGGCGCCTGTCCAGCGGTCAGATGTATCCGGCAGCAAGTGAACAGTTATGTGTCACAGAAAGGAGAAAAAAAAAAAGCAGCATGAGGATCCAATAGAGACGGACGAGTTAGGATAACCAGACGACTGGATCAGAACACGTCTTTTGCTCCGCTGCCAGTCATAACGCACTAACAGTCAGTTTCTGAATGTGTCTAAAGCTGCCAACTATCACCTCATTCACAGACCAGAAAAATGCTTTATCCATGTCCAGGTCAAACACAGCCTGGTTCTAAGAATAACCTGGAAAATATTGTGCTAAAGATGTTACAGAACAGTTCTGCCGCCACACAGAATGTGGTTTTATTACATCTGGTGGCAGCAGCAGCAGTTAAATCAACAGCACGGTCGTGTCCTGCAGTACGGACGCCTTCATCAGCCGCACCGCTGTGTCACATATTCCTCCGTTTTTATTTCCCTCGCTGTCGTTATTTTCTCCTGCAGATCTCCAGGTTGTGTGCTGAGGAGGCAGCAGCTCAGGAGCAGACCGGTCAGGTGGAGGAATGTCTGAAAGTCAACCTGCTCAAAATCAAACAGGAGGGCTGCAAAAAGGTGCGTCCAGATCACCGTGTCCCTGATTAGGAGACTTTAAAGCAGGAGTGTCGAACTCTGGTCCTCGAGGGCCACAATCCTGCATGTTTTAGATGTTTCTCTTTTCCAACACACCTGATTCAAATGATCAGGATCGTTATCAGGCTTCTGCAGAGCTTGATGATGAGCTGATCATTTGAATCAGGTGTGTTGGAAGAAGGGAAACATCTAAAACATGCAGGATTGCGACCTTCGAGGACCAGAGTTCGACACTCCTGCTTTAAAGGATTATTGTACTTTAGTACAGAAAATCTTTTGGCAAAATGTTGATGAAAAAATGGGATTGAGCTTAAACTGAGAGAGTTTAAGATGTTATTACATCTGTTAGTTTTCACTTTTATCAAACAGAAAACCCCAAAATGGCAACTTTTCTTACAAGAAAGCCAACAGTTGATCATTTTCACACTGTTTTTATGCTCATGCATTACATTTAATGAAACAATGAACATTCTTACTGACTTCCCCCCAAAATGCAAATGAATAGAATAAAATAGACGTCACAGTCGCAGAGTGACAGGAAGAAAAACAAGAAAACACAACTACAAATAGAAGAGGTCAAGTATATACACTATATATACAATATACATAAGAAAAAGAGAAGAACACAAGGATACTAAGAACACACATTGAAGAATATTTACATGAATGAACTTCACAAAATGAAATCATCTTTCTGTATTTTCAGCAAATACACAAAGTAATTCTGTATATATTCTGGATGTGTGTAAATAAATATATATACAAATGTTTATTTGTAGTAGTCAGTTGAAGCCTTTAACTGATGCTCTGTAATATTAAATAATAATAATAAAGGCAGAAAGTAAAGGTCAAATGAAAACACAGTAAATTAAAGGAGGTTTGCGATATGAAACTCAGCTGTTGGTTTGTTTGTCCTTGTTGTTTACAGGAAGTCCTTAACATGCTGAAGGAGAGCAAGGCAGACATCTTCGTGGACCCGGTCCTCCACACGGCCTGCGCTCTGGACCTCAAACACCACTGCGCCGCCATCACGCCCGGCAAAGGACGACGTGGGTGTTTTCAGTGTTTTTATGATTTTATGTGAACTCGCTGACCTGTAACTGTTAACCTGTATAGTTAGTTTTTTCTCTCATAGCTCAGAAGGTTTAAAAGCCTTTCAGCGATGTTCTTCAGTGTCTTTGTCGCTCCTTCCTGCCCTGCAGAGATGTCGTGTCTGATGGAGGCGTTACAGGACAAGAGAATTCGTCTGCAGCCGGAGTGTAAGAAAAGACTTCAAGATCGCATCGACATGTGGAGCTACGCTGCGAAGGTAAACACCGGGAGATGTTTTCACCTGCTGTACCTGTAAGAAGCTTTCACTCCTTTGCTGCATTCATTAGCAGTTCTGCAAAGTGCAGATTCATCCTGCAAGAGAGCTAAAACAAAGACTTGTTATTCTGTGAGACAAAGACTTGAAGCAAACAGCGTGAATGCTCCGGAGTTCAGAGCTCAAGCCAACTGAGAATTTGTGTCTGGACTTTTAAAAAAAAGCTGTTTATTCATAACTTCTGTGCAACCTGATGTTGAGGCTGACTGAGACCAACACATGGCTGTAACTGCAGCTGAAGGTGCTTCTACTAAACAGTCATTTAAATAATGCAATCACTTATTTTACTTATTTAGACTTTTAATTAATTGAAATTAATTTGCAGGAATTTGCTTTTGCTTCAATTTGAAAGTGTCTTTTGGAAATTCTTGTCAGTTCAGCGTTAAAAAGAAATAAAAAGGGAAAACTCCCAAGAGGGGATGAATGCTTTTCATTAAGACTGTAAAAATGACATTTTTTTTTCTACGAGCTGAATCGTACGTCCTTTAAGCGTCAAATGTTGGGAAGTAGTGCGATCACTCAGGTCTGAGAGCATCCGTCTGGACGTAGTTACGAACCCAAACATGCAGGTGGCCCTAAAGTCAAAGTCATTAAGAGACGTAACCACAAATATCTGGTCATTGTTGATGTTAAACCACTAAAACTAACCTTTCAAATGATAAGTACTTGGACATAAAGTAAATATTTTGTCTTGAATAAACCTTCAACTCCAGAACTTGTTAGAAAAAATGGTTTGGGATGGAATAAGTCATTAAATCGACAAGTACTTGGACATCATATCTAAAGTGAAATGAGCCTTTAAAAGCACAAGTTGCACACGTTAGCGATCATCCAGGTGGCGCTAGACGTCCTGATGGTGCAGCCGCCATGCTGTTGGACAAACTGCTGCTGTGACCTGAGCGCTACGCCCTGTGTGTGTCCTGTAGGTGGCGCCGGCGGAGGGCTTCTCGGACCTGGCCGTCCAGGTGATGACGTCGCCCTCCAAGAACTACATCCTGTTCATGATCGCACTGAGCGTGTGCGTGCTCTTCCTGGTGGGGCTGCTGTGCGGTCGCATCACCAAGCGAGTGACCAGAGAGCTGAAGGACCGGTAGAAGACGAGCTCGCCTCAGAAAGGACTGACTCCTCGCTCCTTCCCCTCGGCCGCCGCCCTCCTCCCTCCTCCTGCAGATCTGCAACCAGCCAGCCTGCACAGTGCCAACACACCCGGATCCCTCCTCTGTTCAAAAACAAATCCTTTATCCTCCGTTTGGGCGTCTCTAAACTCACAAGAGGCGCAGATTTTTTTTTTTCTCCCCTCCCTCCTTCCCTCCGACAAATCTGCTTTCGCTGAGGATGTTTGAGGCCGGACGTGAGGTCGTCTTTTCAGTTTCTAAATAAGCGCTGTTCTTGATGTGACTGAGGGCTGCTGCTTCTGAGGTTCGGATTGCTTTCCACTCGTTCAGTCCCGATGCTTTATTTTTTTTGTGATATTTAACTGAGACTGGAGCATGTAGAGCAACGGGAAGCGACAGCAGCTGCCTGAATCGCACACAGAAATCTTAAAGGCAAACTTTGCTTTGGTTGAACTCTTGAGATGTTCCTGTTGCTTTGAGACGTTTTTCTCCTCCGTCATGAAGAAGTCCCGTCCTCTCCGCCGGTACGACCAGTTCAGACCCACTTCGCTTGCTACTGACTGAACATGAAGGTCAAGCTGGTCTCCGTTAACAGGAATGTTGTGTGCACTTTTGATTTTTTTGTTCATTTCATTCAAACGCTAATTTCATTGCACTTTTTTTTTTTTTTTTACTTTTGCGCCTTATTTATTGATTGATAACTGATTCTGATGAGGTTTGTTTTGAGCATGTTTGTATCGACCCCTCATCCCTGCTGCGTTCACTGACCAAACAACCTGCCACACAACACCGACGTCAGGCGAAAACCGCTCAGCTTTCACACACTGGAAGTTCTTTTTTTTGTCTGATAATTTATCGCACACGCTAGAAAACACGACTAAACCTGAATCGAACTGCTAATCTGTAATGAGTTTTCCCGTCAGGCCTTGTTTACTTTAAGTTATATCATATATACGCTCAAGATGACTTGCATGCGGTGGCCTTTAAGGTGGAGAAATGGTGACAGAAGCTAAAAACTTTACAGAGTTTAACAGCACATACCTGTTCTCAACCTGCTCGGCTCCTTGTTTGTAGTCTGGGATGAAGCCGGCTGCCGTCAGGTTTGCTTGTCCTCTCAGAAAGCCTGTCTGGGTAACACACACTGGAAGCATCCGCAGTCGTATCTGTGGTTTCGTTTACAGCAGGGTTCTGTGGCTGGTGAACACTGAAGTATTTAACATGAAGTTCTTCATCAAAACACTGATTTTGCCGTAACAAACGATCCACTTTGAGATTTAAGACATCATTTTAAAACTTCACTGTCAGACTTACTTTGATTAATACCAGCAGCGGTTCGAATAATTTCAGATTCACTCACTTTACCACTAAAAGCACATTTCCTTCTGTTGCCAGCAGGCGGCGCTGTTGGTACACGTAGGTAAACTGCAGACCAGGAGCCAAAAATGGTCTGAAATTGGCACAGAGGAGCCAGAAGTAAACATTTTAGTGTTTAAAATACAATTTCACACAGAGTCAGAGTAATAACCGTTTCTGTTTAAAATACCTCAGAGCTCATAAACACTGAACCGGGAGCTTTACAGGTGTTTCTGGATGATTTCTGTAACTTTGGACAGAGTCAGGACAGCTGTTTCTCCCACCATGCTAAGCTAGGCTGATTTAATATGAAGACAAAAGGCTGTTATCTCCCCTTCAGTAAGTCACGCTGTGGTATGTAGTTGACCTGTTGACCTCTGCATTAAACAAAAGTGGTGATTTCTTGCTCCTAAAGCCATCAAACGACCAGAAGCAGATGCAGAAATGACCTCAGAGCAACACAAGCTGACTAAAAGATTTAAAGGGACGACCAAACAACCAGAGATGCAAGCAGGGGGTTCATTCAATCAGCCTGAATTATTATTTTTAAATCTAGATTTGTCTGATTCCAGCTTGTTAAAGTTGAATATTTTCTGGTTGCTATCTTCCTCTGTGAGAGTAAACTGAATCTCTTTGGGTTGTGGACAAATCGAAACATGTAGGGATGCCATCTTGGGCTCTGGGAGGCACTGATGGGCATATTTCACGCTTTTCAGACGTTATAAAGACCAAATCAATTCAAATAATTAAGAAAAATTTTAAAAATGATTAATCAACATTGAAAATCATCAGTACTTGCCGTCAAAGACTCAAGACGATGACGAAAATAGCTGAAAGGAGACGTAGAATGACCACAAAACAGCCACAGAGATGCAAAACAACGATATGCAAATCTACAACAAAGGAAAACTAAATGGGGATAAACAAACACAAAACATTTAAAAGGGGATCCAAAGATGCAAAATAACTCAAAGGTGACGTAGAACTACTATAAAGAGATGCAGAACAGCTACACAGTGATGCTAAATGACTCAACAACTACCAACAGAGACAACACAGCTACGAAGAAACAGAACATCTAAAAAGGGAAGCACAAAAATGCAAAATAACTGAAAGGATAATAAAAAATAAAGCAGCTACAAAGAAAGACAAACCAGCTACAAACTGATGCAAAATGACTAAAAACAAATGCTAAACAACCAGAGAGGTGATTTGAATAAAAGAACTACAATGAAACTCAAATAAAGTGACACAAACCAACCACAAATACTCAAAATAACTAGAAGGACGTATAGAACACCTACAAAGAGATACAACACAGCTTCAAAGTGATGCAAAACTACTAAACTCAAATAACCGAGATGCAAAATAACTGAAATGAGATGTGACGCTACAAAACGGCACAAAAGAAACACAAAAATATCTCAGAAGGGATGTAAAGTAATTACAAACAGGACACAAAACCGCTACAGAGTGATGCAAAAATACTAAAATCGAACGCTAAACAACCAGAGAGACGCAAAATAACTGAGAACTGAGATGAAAAGTGGATCTGAAGAGTCAGAAAACAGCTACAAGGTGATGCAAACTTACTAAAAACACCACAGAAACACTTTAGAACTAACAGGAGACATAAAACACCTAAAAAGATGTCGTATTCATAACATAAAGATCCACTCAATAGTGTCTAAACCTGCGTCTGGACATAACTCATAACATAAGTCGTCCCGTTTAAGGCTTTATTTTGACATTAGAACAAAACACTATTTTATCTAACAGAACAAAAACCACAACCTCTTGTTCAGTATTACAAACTTTAGCCATGAATGTTTTTGCTTTGCAGATAAATGACACGTAACTAAACTAAACATTACCATTTCATTTTTTCCCCCCAAAAAGCTAATGTTTAATTTTGCACTTTAATTGATGGACGTCACATCAGTAGAGCCTCATTCCTTAATTAAATCACTTCAACATTTCTCAGCAGTAACCTGTAGTTTTCTTTTTAACACACGTTTTGCTGCTTTTTGTTGTAAATGAATATCTGAATGATTAAACAGGTGAATAACGTGCAGCACATGCACAATATTTTTTCTGCTCGAGTTTAAAAAAAAAACATTCACAGCCACATTCTCAGAAGGAAAACATCCTGGAACAGCAGTCGGATAGAAACCAACAGCTCGCTGCTTCGAGCTTTTCTAATTGATCTTTTTGTTTCCGTCTGTGTCTGAAGTCGGATGTTGAATGAAAGAGATCTAACCAGTAAATAAAGACATCTATCATAACGAGTTTTGTACGCAAGTCTCTACGTGTAGAAACTTTATCGGTGTGCAGTTTTTGTTCTTTTTAGAATATGCCATGTAATATGAAGATGTAACAGACTTATCATTGTGAGATTTGATTTTGCTGTACAGATAAAAATTTGTCAATTTAATAAAAATGTCTGCAGATTTTCATATCTTCGCCTCAAGCCGAGTCAATTTT